AAACATTATGTTTTGGCCATTTATTAATAGTGGATTATTTTTTCAAGTATCTTGCATTATGCTTATCGTGTATGTATATACAAGTAGACCTCGACTTACAACAATTCATTTATTGACCATTACAATGAGAGTGTTACAACGGCCCTGAAAAAAGTGACTTTTGACCATTTTCACACTTACAACTATTACAGCATCCCCATAGTCATGTGATCAAAATTCAAACGCTTGGCAACTGATTCATATTTAAGATGGTTGCAGTGTCTCAGGATCATGTTTTGTGACCTTTTTTACCAGCAAAATCAATGGGGGAGCCAGATTTACTTAAGAACCATGTTATTAACAACTGCAGTGATTCACTTAACGACTTTGACAAGGAAGTTATACAATGGGGGAAAATTCATTGAATTTATTTCACTTAGGCAACAGAAATTTTGGTCATGTCTACTTGTAATGCTGGTGGTATATCAGTTGGACATGAAATATGAGCAAGAAATAGGAAAGTGTAAGATGTGGGCAGGGGTGGAATTCAAATTTTTTAACAACCGGTTCTGTGGGCATGGCTTAGTTGGTGGGTGTGGCTTGGTGGTCATGTGACTGGCTGGGTGTGGCCAACTCAACTTCATTCACATCGAGGCACGCATCTCCTCGCCTGGCCTCTCATGACTGTGGGGATGCTGCAACAGGCATATGTGTGAAAAATGGTCATAAGTCACTTTTTTCAGTGCCACTGTAACTCTGAATGGTCACTCCACACAAACAAAGTACCAGCAAATGAGGGAAAGAAAACTCCAGAGAGGTTCCTGAGACAGGAAGTCTAGTCCTGTCAAGAACGTAATAAGGGTTAATGGAGAGGCAGTTTCTGGAAGCAACACCAGAATGTTTCCTTCCTGCCTTCCTTACAGGATTAGGCCAGTAATTTCTTCTAACAACCGGTTCTCCGAACTGCTTAGAATGTTAACAACCGGTTCTAGCGAATAGGTGCGAACTGGTAGAATCCCATCCCTGGATGTGAGGAAAGTGGAAGAAATGTATAAAGAGAGTTTTCTGCACTTCACCTGTTCCTCTCTTTCTCTAAAGAGGCACTGTGGGGAAATTGCTTTCTCCAAGATCAGAGAAAGTTTTCTTCATCTCATCATCACTTTGCACATGAGGTACATATCCACAAACACACTTCCATCTCAGGCAAGCTATAATAGAAGAGCACTGAGCTTTGGGTCAAAGGGATTTCTGATTTTAAAAAGGCAAAAAAGAATGTCAGCAATGAAGCTATATTCTACCTCATGCTCAATAATGTTTAATGAAATCTGAAGAAACATTATTTTTTCTTAACTCTTAGTATTATTTTTATTAACTCTTATTATTAACTCACCGTATTATTTCGGTCATTATGTCTCCCTTTACTGTCTTCTATAAAGCAAAAACTAGGAAAACTGAGAAAAAAGTGTTCATAAAGTCTAGATATGACTATAAGTCAAAGTACTTCTAGTTTTCCTTATCTTTTAACTTTCTGGGTTTGGAAGACTGATAAAAGAAATCAATGCTGCTGAATAACCACTGCCATCATCATTAGCATGACCAGCAATGAGGGACAGTAAATTTGTATCTTAACGATATGAACAAAGCCCTATTATCCACCCTAATCTAAAACAAGTATATTGACCATGACAGAAAGAATATGCTATCATATTCTTATCCCCAATCCAATCAACCTGCAAGTTAGTTTTCAAGTTTCCCATTCACTTTCTACTTTCTCTCTTTAATTTCAATACTGTAGCAGGCACTGCCTATTGTCAAATTGCAGGCTTTTGTTGCTATGCTGTTTTGTCTGCCAGGATATCCCTAGTTGAAAAGTGTTTCCATGGCAAGTGGGACACTCTTGCCCAACTGGTTGATTCTGCAGAGAGAAGCCAGACCCATAATGATATAAGCTAAGATAAAATCCCATCACCCGTTCTTAAAAGGAACATGGACATTCCTCATTCAGGTTTAAGCTGTTACATCTGTATTTCTAATAGCCCACTATCCCCAAAGAGAGTTATGGATCAACCAGACATATTGCAAGTAAGACACATCACCTTTTTAGAAATTATCTTTGCTAATCCCAGATTGCTTCTTCCTCAGAAGGCATGGTCTGTTTGGTTCTTCTTCAAATTGACTCTTCACCCCCATCTTCATCCCCAAATCATGGCTGAGGATCAAAAGGGATGGAACCTTTGAATAATATATGCAAGTTGTTTCTTCCCAGAAGCCTCCCTCAACACTGAGCTTCCTGTTGGGACTATAAAATCTATAACCATTGTTTAGTAGAACCAAAATCTGACCACAAATCATCTCTCATGTTCATAGTAAATACCAACTGAAACAAAACATATTAAATGGAAGTCTAGGGTTATAAGTTCTAACTTGTAAGAACCTAACAACTCTGTTTAAAAAGCATCCTGGACCAGGAGGAAAATGGGTTTTTGGACCTATTATATGTGCTCCAAAACTGTGTTGATCTGAAACAGAGTCTGAAGGAGTTCAAACTGTAGCATTACAGGAAATGGGAAAGGAAAAAAAAAATTAAATAGCAAATTAGGCAACGCATCAAAGTATTTAGGGAGGCAGGCAGGCACACAGGCAGATATGTAGGTATCCATTTTCTGATGCTGGTTTGGGCTTTGGACAAAGATAGAGAGAACTGGGATATTGGGGAAGGAGAGTTCTTTTCTTGCACTGTACCTGAAAACCTCTCCAATAAAAAGGCAATGCAAGAAGCAGAGATTATCAGCTAGGCCAGAGGTCTCTAAACTTGGCAACTTTAAGACTTAAGACTTATGGACTTCAATTCCCAGAATTCTCCACCCAGCATAATTTTAGGAGTTGAAGTCCACAAGTCTTAAAGTTGCCAAGTTTGGGGACCCCTGAGCTAGGCTGCAACAAGCCACCTACTTTAATGCTGTGTTTTCAAGGACAAACAGAAGAATTAGGTTGCTGCTATACACACCCCACCCCATAAATAATGCACCAATGGTAAAATCACTGCTAAAAAAATAACCCCTTTGAGATTATTCGTACCTGTATTCTCCAAACTTAAAAAACACTGTGTAGGACATGATATGATGTCCAGTTGGAGAAGCCTGAAAATGAAGTTTATGTTTGCTCAACATGGGGATCTCCATTGAACAGTCGCAAGAGGCAATATAAGTAGGGCTGGTTTTAGAGGAATCATTTGCTTCACTCAACTAACAACTGTCTCAAGCCAAGGCAGACAACTGTGGGGGATCTGAAAAAGCTATTACAGGAGTTTCATTTCCTATCTCCTGCCTACATGCTTGCCGAGAATAAGAAAAGATTTTCAGGTTTGAAGAGAAGGATGTTGGCTTGGGGGTAAAGCATTCCCAGTTTCCTGGGTTCAACTCCTGGCATCTCCTACTAACAGTCAGGTACATAGAGAGCTGTGCTGGCCACAGCAATGGAGACTGGGAAAGAGGGTGAAGTTCTGAAGAAACAGCAAAGAACATAGAATTCATCATGTGGGATCTGGCAAAACACTGCCTCTTTAGTCTGCAAATTGAGATAACATGACCATTGGCACCAGCAGGCTTGGATCATCTTTTAAGTAGCAAACAACTTTGTGACACAGATTTACAGGGATAATTTAAGCGGTATGAAGACGCCTAATGTTTTAAGGCTGGTACTGAAGAAAAGCACTTATAACTTTTCTCCATCTTGAAGCTAACAAAACAACTGATCTCTCTTACCAAGACAGGCAGATATTCTCTTCCCCCACCCCCTCTTTCCCTCACACACACTAACGCACACATACTGTCCTCTGGGTACCCCACTTCTCTAGTAATGCTCCAGCTGCTGTGGAGAAAGTAAAGAGTTAAGCTAGCAGAGTATTTGGCTGGACACTCAGAGAGAAAGAAGGAATAGTCTGTTCAGCCAAGTGTTTCAATTCCCCCTGTCCTCCCTGCCCCCTTCCAAAACAGCACCAAGCAAGAGACAGCTGCAGCTTATAAGGAATGTGAGGGGCCCAGCCAGGGACTCCAGGGAAGGAAACCAGGCCTTATATGGCCATGGAGGCAGAATCCAATTTTTATCAATGAGCGGGAGCACAGAGACGCCCAGGCAGAGATAACCAAAAACAGAGCTGCTCCAGGAGGTCCTAGCAGGAAAGCAAAGAGCACCTGCCACATTCTGCCCAGCCCAGCGCAGCCACCCAACGCCTGCTGCCATTAGAGGAAGGCAAGACATGGGCTGTTCCCATCCCACTTTGGCAGATATCCAGCCCATCTACTCCAGTCCCAGGGAATTTGGCGGGGGAAGGGAGAACAGCCTCCCAGGAGAAGTAACACTAGATAAGTCTGAGCAATCAAAGCACTGTCAGTCAGCTTCAGCCTTTCTCCCTACCAAACTTTACTGAAGCTGGGTAACATGTGCACAGAGAGGGTTGCTGGGAATCAAGGGGGCGCTGCTGCTCCCAAAATCAAAGCCCAACAGCAGAATCCAGGTCCTGACAGCTCCCAATCTACTGCATCCCACAGAGCACCTCATTTTTTCCCTTCTAAAGTTAACCTTGCAACTTTAAGTTATGGGGAATTAACTCTTACACTGCTAGATTTCATTGGTGCAAAATAGCAATAGCAATAGCACTTAGACTTATATACCGCTTTATAGTGCTTTACAGCCCTCTCTAAGCGGTTTACAGAGTCAGCCTATTGCCCCCAACAATCTGGGTCCTCATTTTACCCACCTCCGAAGGATGGAAGGCTGAGTCAACCTTGAGCCTGGTGGGATTTGAACTGCCAAATTGTAGGCAGCTGGCTGCAGAAGTAGCTTGTAATACTGTACTCTAACCACTGCGCCACAGAGGAAAATGCAACAAAGGAAACAGTCTGGTCCTTGCGGTTAATCTGGCAACACACAGGTCTACTGCATTGAAGCACATGCAGAGAGCAACAATGCCAGTAGCTCTTTCTCTCTCCAAAGACTGACAAGATAGAAGTTGGGGATACCTTCGTTTCTCCGCTGCTGTCCGACTCAGACACCTGATACGTAAGGTCCGTTTCCTCAAAGCCCGTAGCACTCATGCGCTGATCGCTGGTTGGGTCCGACCGAGGAGGGGAGTCAGGAGAATTCAAGCATGTCTGGATCAGTGCTTTCCCCGTCTCGCTGGTGATCATTGGCTGCAGTTTCCGTGTGGCGAAAGTGTAGACGTGGCCTGTCTCACTGGCCACAAGTAGCAAAACTTGAGTGCCCGTAAGGGTGGAAAGTTCATAGGCCTAGGATAACAAAAAGAAAGAAAGAAAGATGGTGAAGGAAAGGAACAGTCAGGAACAGATTCTGAAAAATGTTACTAGTAAGAAGAGGAAGTACAACTGGATTCATCTCACAACAGGACATGAGATACCCTTTTGGGTTGATTATGGGTTACATAAGCCATAATGAGGTTTTCAAGAAGCCACAGTTAAAACAAACCACGGCTGGGAATATACATGATTTTAGCTAACGTGGACATCTCTTCGCTTTCATTCCAAAATACTTAAAAATAATACTAATTGACTAAGTTAGGATCTATTGCTAGTATTTGGGTGGTTCTGGATAAATTACAGCTTTCCTACTGTATTGATGTGCTAGGTGCAGCAGTAGCTGATCTTGGATGGATGTCAGAAACCTAAGCAGAGTCAAACCTAGTTACTCTGTGGATGAAAGACCATGAGGAAAATGCAGGGCTAAAGACTAGACCGGGAAGCTAAACAACAGCAATAACCTGGACAATGATAACTACAAACCACTTCTGTTTTACTGCCAAGAAAATTATATGGAAATCTCCATGCAGCTACTTAATAGTTGACTTTGACTCCAAGGAGGTTTATGTTCATTTAAAACAGCAAGCTCTTTGAAGTGAGACACATGAAACACTGAAAAAGTATAGACCTTATGGCTCAGGAAGTAGACAACTGCATTATTCTGCAATTATGAGCAGAAAGTCATAGTAGCATCATTCACAAGCATAGTTCCTTCCATTTGCAACCCGAAAATGCCATTTCAACAATTCTAGGTCTATATACAGGTAGTCCTTGATTTATGATCACAATTTGGGTTTGGAATTTCAGTCACACGTCAGTATGGTTATAAGTTGAACCATCACATGACTGGACTCAATTTCAGGATGATTTTTAGCCCAGTCATTAAGCAAATCACCACAGTCATTTAGCAAACAGTGATCAAGTGACCACAAGATGCTGCAACCGGCCATAAATGCAAGCTGGCTGCCAAGCACTCTTAAGTACAATCACATGGCTGTGGAGGTGATGCTACAGTTATACTAAGTGCAAGTACAGGTTGCAAAGCACTTTGTCCAAGACAGTTGTGCCTTTTAATCACCCTTACACAAACAGCTGTAAGTTGAGTTCTACCTGTGTATAATGGCATAGTTCATAGGGTGTGTTAATTTTGCTTTGTTCTTCATTCATTACAGCTATCATAATGCACGGTATGCTAAGCTTGCAATGTGGCCTTCCAGATCACACAGCCAATGAAGTCAACTACAAGTCTCAAAAGCTTGTGGATTAACAAATGTATTGGGTTAAATAACCACAATATTTCTTATTGGTAAAAAAGGTAAAATAGCCACAATTATATTTCAGAAAACTGCCCAATGGAATGCACTACAGATAAAACTATCATTTTGAGGTTTTTTGTTTTTTTTTACAGAATATTGACCCAGAGAGTTGAAACCAGATTTGGCAGCTAAGAAGAAAATACTAATTAGTAACTGCATAGAAATAAAAATAGGTGGCCAGCATGCCAAACCAATCTCTGACCATAATTTCATTTCCCAACTTGGTTCCTTCCAGTTGTTCTTTTTCCCAACAAAACCTTCTCCTATGACAATAATAGAAATACAATTGCATAACCTGGGAAAGTTATGCTTGATTATAGGAAACTTTGCTCCACTTTCTAATTCCAGGATGAACACTCAGGACAGAGATTCATTTCTGAAAATGGGAAAGTAAAAAAAAATATTAAAAATAAAGTGTATGCCATATTGAAGACAAGAGTAGCAAACAGGCAATCTCATTAAAAAAGTTACTTGGAGTAGGATGACATAAAATAAAGATGAAAAAGGTTCTAAGCTAAAACATGCAAGTTAAATGGGTAGCCTCCAAGTCTAAAAAATTTCATTTTGGTAAAGCATGTATAACTTCTCTCTTTCCAATTCTTCTACATGTTGTGCAACGTTATCAACCACCTGGCAACGTCATGCTCTCTCTTCATCTACCATGTTTGCTATGCCCGCATCCCTCAGGCTCTACTAACCTGTTTTGCCAATTTCTTCAAATCTCATTCTTCTCCAAATAGTTCTTCAAAATACAAAGCTAATTGGATGTCATGCCCATAATCTGTGCATTGGCTTCATATGGGGCAAAGAATACATGATGAGGCACCTATTACACTTGGTGCTCAAGTTTGAGAAAAAATGTATTCCTTACCAATTCTGTTTTCAGAAATACAGAATTTGAAGGAGAGGCCCAATCACTTAGCCAGACTCTGTGTAGAAGGTAGTGCTTGGCTTCATTCAGGGATACATAGATTAGCTTTTGTAATCAGAACTGAGGAGATTTTGCATGATCAATTGGAGGCCAAGAGTTCCAGTATTTCAGGCCCACCTCAAGATAGCACAGTGCTAAAATTAATTCCCTGACATAAACTACTATCTTTCCTTTCTGGACTAAAACCAACTGTCTTTGCTTAACCTTATGCTTTTACTTCTTTGAATCTCAACTGGGAATATAATTCTGATTTAGCTTTCAAGGATAAATGCATCTACAGCTTTATCATATTGGACAATTAACAATCTTGCTGTGGCTTTGTGGGCCAAAAAAGAGTGGGGGAATAGGCATGAGAGAGTTTCCAGTGCATGATAATATTCAACACAGATGCTATCATATATAGTAGCTCCATCCAGCACAGCATTGTTATTCAGACCAACAAACACAATCTAGAAAGTCCAGGACAGAGCCTTTTGGAATATACAGGATGGATCTTCTATATGCAATCAATGTGCTCTGCTAGTGCACTGTACTTCCCTTTTTCCTTGGGTGGACAGAAGACAGGCTGAAGAATTATCAACTGAGTGTTAATGTTTAACGGACACTTCATTGTCAACCAACTGGCCTGTATTTCCAGGAATGATTAGAGGATTAGGCACATCCTGAGGGAAGCAGAATATTGCCAGGAAGCATTGCTCTTGGGCTTGATGATTTGGAATATGAGGTGGGTGGCCATGAATGTTTATTCATCAGGCTATGTTTGCAAAAGTGCTTTTGACATGGCAGCTGATGTAAGACACAAGTTCAGGATGGGAGGAAGTGGGAAGGACCTACTTTGGCAGTAGTACCTGTGAAAAAGATCTGGGTGTCCTTGTCATTCCCCCCCAAAAAATATAAACTAGAAATGTAATGTGCCTGCTAAAAAGACAAATGCTGTCTTGGAATCAGTTAAGAGAAACACGAAATCCAGATCAAAGGAATTTTTTTTTCTTTTCTAGTTTGTAATGATCAGACTCTATTTGACTGTGACATCTTGATCTGGGCATCACTTTTCAAAAAAGACCATGACAGATACAAACAAGCTGAAAGAAGGATTACCAAGATGGTGAAATATTTGGAATTCAAACTCTGTGAAGAACAGTTAAAAGACAGCGATATGTTTAGCCTACAGAAAAGACAATTAAGGGGAGATATGACCACAGACTTCAAATATATGAAAGACTGACAAATGAGTGGATTTACATCTATTGCTCCAGAGCAGGGGCCTCCAACCTTGGCAACTTTAAGACATGTGGACTCCAACTCCCAGAATTCCTGAGCTAATATGACTGGAGGAGGAATTCTGGGAGTTGAAATCCACAAGTCTTAAAGTTTCCAAGGTTGGAGACCCTTGCTCCAGAGGGTAGGACCAAAACCAAAGAATTAAAACTATAAGGAAGTTCAAGCTAGTCATCAGAAAAACATTCGGACTTTGCAAGTCATCAGCCAGTGAAACCAGCTGCCACATGACATGGAGAGTTCACAGTACTTGAGGTCTTCAGAGACTGACTATGTGCATCTGTCAATGTTGTAGCACAATGTTTCTTAAAGTGTGGTCTCAGGAACCCTGGAGATCCTCTAAGACCTTCTCAGGGCTCTCTGAAACCAAAATTATTTGCCAGATATTGAAGATATTAGCAGAAATTTAAAACAATCTCACTCTTCTTCTTCTTTTATATTTGTTAAAAATGTAACATATGGAATACTTCTCATGAAAAATATTTTACATATGTTAATATCTAACGAGTTTAATATTATTTTTATATGATTCAATAAATATTCTACATATGTTCAGTTTTAATTTTTAATATGACAAATATTCATAAATATAACCCAAACAAAAATATAAGCAAACTTACAAAGCACAGTATAAAGGTAATGGACCACTGGAAAGACTTTCAAAAGCTATATAAATCATTTCCTCCCTACGTACTGAAAAATCTGCTGGATAAGATCAGCCCTAGGCAGCTATCAAGATCATCTTTAAGACTTGTGGACTTCAACTCCCAGAATTCCTCCTCCAGTCATATTAGCTCAGGAATTCTGGGAGTTGAAGACCACAAGTCTTAAACTTGCCAAGTTTGAAGACCCTTGATCTAAAACTATCTAAGAAAAAAGAATTTGACACCTTTTGGGATAGTTTATTGCAATCTCAAACAACATGCACTATTTAAGAACAATCAAGAAATTCTTCTTAAAGTTCAATGGAAAACTCTTCTAGTTGTTTGAATCAAGTCCCACCATTATTTTAAGCCAAACAAAATAGATTTCCTTCATTATCTATTTGACAATCCTTCAAATATTTGAAATCAGCAACCCTACCATGCCTTCCTTGCATCTTCTCCAAACTAAACATACTCCAACTTTTGTCAATTCTCATGACAAATATTAGAGAAACAAACAGAGTGTAATGCATGGTCAATATTAAACCAATGACTAATATTATCAACACTGATGGCAACAGCCCATGGGGCTTTCTCTAATGTATCCAGATATGCAGAGATCGCAAAGAGGGATCTTCCTTGTGATAATCATGGGCTTTTCCCCTTAGCTACAATGCATCCCCTATTTTCTTGAAGTGCACCAGATGCAACAAACAAACTATATAGTAGAAATAAATAAATATAAGCTGTGCACAATGCTCTTATCTAATAAGCCTCAGGCTGTTTATTGGCCCATTCACTACC